TCTAAAGCTTTGTAGTTTTGAGCCACATTTTACTCACCTGTAAAATGAGGGGAAGTGATCTAAGATTCTTCTATCCTAAGTATACATCTTATATCTAAGACTTTGTCATTCTTAAATGTTTATTATTCTCATAGAAAAATTGAATGGCCGTTTTGGTTTGATACTATTTTCTAGTTCCCAGCAGGGTTTTATTCACTTGTTTGTGGTTAATTGGAAATGTTTTGTCTACTGATGCTGTGTTATTATATTTACTAGTTAGGGTGTAGTGTTTTGTTTTAACCATTTCTTTGTATTTTCAGCTACACTTTTCTTCTAGTATTTACACACCTTTAATTTTTTTAGTTTTGTGTTTCTTTTATAGAGCTTTTCTGGAGATTTTATGCATCGACTGCCTCTTTTAGGAGAAAAACAGGAGGTAATTGTTTTCATTATATATTTCTGAGAGTGCAGTAAAAACTTTGGTGGTGCAGGAGACACCCATGCTCGCTACATCTCCAGGGAGGGAGTGCTGCACCTGGGGAGCAGGCTCAGACAGAGGCTACAGGAACTTGGGCAGCTAAAAACAAGAAGTTCTGAATTAATTATTATTATTTTTTAATATTTAAAGGCTAAGGAGAATGGAACAAACCTTACCTTTATTGGAGACAAAACTGTAAGTATATTTGGGGATTTGGGGCATTGAACACATATTTTAGTTTTCTTATATTCATATATTTTTGAATTGTTCCCGCATATGATGCTAACATTTGAAAAGAAAGTTAAGTCTGGAAGCTATAGACCAAAATCTTAAAAATGGTTGGATCTCTGGATGATAACCATGAGTGATTTTTAGTTTCTTCTTTGTGTTTTCTGTATATTTTCTCCTGTACACCTGTATTGCTTTTATAATTATCCCTCAATACATATCTGTAAACAGGAAGAAACTTATTAAAAATAAGAACTCTTAAACTTCATCTAAAATTATCTGTGATAAAATATAATTGAAAGAGAGTTTGGAAAATTGAAATAAGGTAAATAAAACTGTAAATATGCCTTAAGTTTTCATAAATATGCATTGTATGGATACTATTTTCAAATTCATAATAACTAATCCCTCAAAACATCACCAGTTAAAAATTTAGAGGAAGGATGACAGCTATCAATGTTGGATTATGGTTTTTATAAGGCTGATTAAAGTTTTTAATTTTATAACCTTATGAAGGTATAGTATACATATGACAGAAGTTATGTTTTGTTTTGTTTTGTTTTGTTTTTTGAGACAAGCTCTCACTCTTGCCCATGCTGAAGAACAGTGGTGTGAACATGGCTCCCTGCTGCCTTGACCTCCTGGGCTCAAGTGATCCTCCTGCCTCAGACTCCCAAGTAACTGGAACCACAGGCACATACCGCCATGCCTGGCTAATTTTTAAAAATTTTTTGTAGAGATTGGGTCTCACCATGTTTCCCAGGCTGGTATGGAACTCCTAGGCTCAAGTAATCATCTCACTTCAGCCTCCCAAAGTGCTGGGATTATAGGTGTGAGCCACTGCGCCCAGCCTAAAAGTTATTGTTAAAGTTACTATATTAAAGCATATAATTTAGTGGTTTTTAGTATTCTCAAGTTGTGCAAGCACCACTCAAAGTCTAGTTCCAGAATTGTTCATCGTCCCCAAAAGTAGCCCCATACTCATTATCAGTCACTCCCCATTTTTCCTGCCCCCAGCCTCTGACAATCAGTAATCTATTTTCTGTCTCTGTATTTGCCTTTTCTGGACATTTTATATAACTGAAATCATATAATACGTGGCCTTGTGTCTGGCCTCTTTCACAGTTTCCACTTTGCCTTAACTTTTACTTCCTGCTTGCACAGAGCCTTAAGATCAGCCAGCGAGTGATTAGGGCCTTCTCAGGTCTCTCCTGGACCTGTGCACAGCCCTGGGCATATGGCCTTCTAGATTTCCAGGAATATTTTGGAGCTTTCCAAAGTCCCTGTGGACATCCCATTCTTCAGTTTTTCCTTTTAAGTTTCCAATCAGCCTCTCAGTAGCCCCGGTTGGTAATGTCACCTCAGGCAGCTGTGATCTTGAAGGATTGCTATTCAGTGTGTTTGGCAAATGCTTTGAGTACAGGGCTGTTGACACTAGGTGATCTCTGAGTCAGGTCAGATAAAGAGAAGCCCTGAGAATGGAGCTTTCCAGCAATTTGCCAGACAGCTCAGGTGATCAGTCTTTTAGGGACCTCCAAATTTGTTTTTTCCTTTGGGAGGCCTACGTGAGCAGATCACTTGAGGCCAGGAGTTTGACACCAGCCTGGCCAACATGGTGAAACTTGTCTCTGCCAAAAATACAAAAATTAGGCAGGCATGGTGGTGCACACCTGTAATCCCAGCTACTTGGGAGGCTGAAGCAGGAGAATCACTGGAACCCAGAAAGTAGAGGCTGCAGTGAGCTGAGATCACACCACTGCACTCCAGCCTAGGCAACAGAGTGAAACTCTGTGTTCCCTTCCCCTGTCCCCTTTGCCCAGTGGCTGCTAAGCTGTTGTTTTTCTCAGCTGTTAACGGTTTCAGCGACTTTGGTTTTAAGGAACTTGAGAGAGAGGGATGGGATTAGGGTGAACCACAGACATCTCAAGCTTGCTTTTCTTTCCTAGATTCAGTTGCCTTTCTCGAAGAAACATTTCTTGTATTGTTGAAAGACTTTAATTAATTTCCAAAGTACCAAAAGTTGATTTTGATAGTTTTTGCCAGTGTTTTTGTTGCTTTTATAGATGAGTAGATTTTCAGAGTTTCTTATTCTGCCATTCTGAAAGTATTCTCACTACCCAAACCCCAGTTTTATTTATACAGAATTTTAACTGAAAGTAGGTTAGGCATGACAATCTTTGTTAATTTTTTTTAAACAAAAGATAGCCGTTAGGACTGGGTGCAGTGGCTCACGCCTATAATGCCAACACTTTGGGAGGCCAAGGTGGGCAGATCACTTGAGGTTGGGAGTTTGAGACCAGCCTGGCCAATGTGGTGAAACTTTGTCTTTACTAAAAATACAAAAATTAGTTGGTCATGGTGGCAGGCACCTGTAATCCAAGCAACTCGGGAGGCTGAGGCAGGAGAATCACTTGAACGTGGGAGGTGGAGGTTGCAGTGAGCTGAGATCACGCTACTGCACTCCAGTCTGGGTGACCAGTGAGATTCCATCTCAAAAAAAAAAAAAAGGAAAAAGATATTCATTGGATTTTCTCTTACTAATAGGCATATATTCACTGTGAAAATGGAGACGAAATGAATGAAAAGAAGAAAGTAGTAATCTATAATACCATGCAGTGATGTATTTATTTTCCTAGTCTTTTGTATATGGGCATGTTGATATTTATTTTAAAAAGGGGATCTTATAGTATGTATTATATGACTTTTTTTGTAGCTTAGCAATATAACATGGACATCTCTTCAGTTTGGTAAATATTGTATTACATTGTTACTTAAATGCTTGTGTAGTGTCTTATTGTATGAGTACATTGCAATTTGTTCAATTCTCTATTCTTGAACATTTATGAGTTTCATTATCTTGGAATTTTATGCAGTGTTGTGATTAATATTTTAACTACATTTGCTTTTAAGTCTTTATTTTCTGATGTCTGAAGAATTGTATATTGGGATAAGTTTTTAATTCTATAACTTAAAAGTAAAAATCCTTTGTAATTTTATGTTCTAATAGTTTGCGTTTGGTGTGATTACACAGAGCACATGCATATTAACCAAAATAAGATCATATTAGACACCGTTGTATAATTTTTTATTTTTACTACCAAATTGGTACATTGAATACTACTTCACCTTTTCATGGCTGCTTAGTGTTCCATTTTATTATGATTTTAATAATTAACTCCCAATTGATGAATATTTGGGTTGTTCCCAAATTTTCCCTATTATGGATAAGGTCATGTTCATAATGTGTAGCTGTATCTCTGTGTACATTTATAATCTTTAGGCTAAATTCCTGGAGGTAGAATTGCTAGGTCCACATGTATGCACAGTTTAAACCTCTTTTTCGTAGCAATTTATGGCCCCAAGAAAGTGAGAGTGTCTTAGTTTGTTTATGTTGCTATGGAAGGACACCTGGAGCTGGGTAATTTATTAAAAAAAAGAGGTTTATTTGGCTCACTGTTCTGTGGGCTATGAAAGAAGCATGGGGCCGGCATCTGTTTCTAGTGAGGGCTTGAGGCTGCTTCCACTCATGGTGGGAAGTGAAGGGGAGTCTGTGTGTGCAGATCACATGGCAAGGGAGGAAGAAGGAAAGAGGGAGGAGGAGGAGAGGACGCAGTGGACTCTTTTTTAATAATCAAGGAAGCAATAGAGGGAGAAGTCATTACTGAAAGGACAGTGGCACCAAGCCATTCATTAGGGATTGGCTCCGTGACCCAAACACCTCTCTCTAGATTTCACCTCCGACACTGGGGATCAAATTTCAATACGAAATTTGGGAGGACAGATATCTAAACCATAGCAGTGAGTTTCCATCTTTCCTCACAAAAACAATGGCTGTCATTTAAAATAGATTTTATGCAGTTTGTCTAGTTAAGCAATAATTTGTTGTTGTAAATTATATTTAAAAAATTATTGTTAAGTCAGGCGCTGTGGCTCACGCCTATAACCCCAGCACGTTGGAAGGCCACAGCAGGCGGATCACTTGAGCTCATGAGTTTAAGACCAGCCTGGGCAATATGGTGAAACCTTGTCTCTACAAAAAATGATGGAAAAATTAGCCAGAAGGTGGCACGTGCGCCTGTAGTCCCAGCTACTTGGGTGACTGATGTGGGAGGATGGCTTGAGCCTGGGAGGCAGAGATTGCAGTGAGCCAAGATCATACCACTTCACTCTAGGCAATAGAGCCATACCTTGTCTCAAAAACAAAAACAACAACAAAAAAATTATTGTTGAAGGTGAACATTCATTTATATGGATATTGGCTCTTGCGCTTTCTTCATTTGTCTTCTGTGCACAGCATACTTTGAGTTCTATTCAAGGCTTCAGTCTTGTTACAGTGATTAAAACTGGCTGAAAGGTGACCCTGTTGAATACCACAAGTAATATTTAGGAATACTTAGTCAAAATATAGTCAAAAGAAATGAAAGAATTAACTATCTTTTGATCTTTCTTCCTGAAAATTTGGTCCAAGGCAAATACCTTATAATCCTATTTAAAGGATATTCACAGGCTGGGTTCAGTGGTAATCTCCGCATTTTTGAGGCCCAAAGTGGGTGGATCACTTAAAGCCAGGGTTTGAGACCAGTCTGGTCAACATGGCAAAACCCTGTCTCTACTAAAAATGCAAAAATTAGCTTGGTGTGGTGGGGTACATCTGTAATCCTAGCTACTTGAGTGCTTGAGGCCTGAGAATCATTTGAGCCCAAAAGGCACAGGTTGTAGTGAGCTATGATTGCACCACTGCACTCCAGCCTGAGTGACAAAATGAGACTCTGTCTCAAAAAAACAAAAAGGATACTCACAAATTCAGTACCTCCATCCTATTTCATTAAAGCTCTGATTAAATATATATGTTTATGGGCCGGGTGTAGTGGCTCACACCTGTGATCCCAGCACTTTGGGAGGCCAAGGTGGGTGGATCACCTGATGTCAGGAGTTCAAGGTCAGCCTGGCCAACGTGGTGAAACCAC